GGAAATCTGTGCAGGGAAGTATGATGCTGCAGCTTTTCATTTTCTGTTGATGCCCAGTTTTGAAGACAATAGTGAAGAATGAAACAATCTCTGCAGATACAAACAAATTAAAGTAGCGGCAGAAAAGGGTTGGAAACCAATTCTGTCCCTGAAAAACTGGAAATTTGTCTTCAGGTTGACTTTGTATGTAAGATGGATCACATGTAGTCAGCCCTCCATACTTGCAGGCTCAGGGGTGCAGGACCCCCAAGAAAGCGGATAACCCGCAAATATCTCTAGCTCACTTCCAACTCCAGCTCACCGGGACCCCATTTTTTCAGCAATGCAATGCTGGAAAGGTTTTCCTCTCTGGATGGGTGGGGCAGGAAAACCTCCTTTGCAGGTCCCACTCTGCCTTTCACTTCCTTAGTCTCCATGGTGAAGATTTTGTGCCCCCCCCCACTTTTCTATTTCTCTCTTTGAAGGCCTCCCCCTCTCCTGTTTTATTTCCACCCTCTCTCTATGATGATGATGAGTTTTGGTAGTAATTTTTTTTTTAAAAATGGTAGTTGATCTGTAAGCACAGGTACCTCTAAATTAACGGGTCATAACTCACATACTGCCTGCACTAAAAGCACTAAAAACTCTGCCTTAAGTCCCTGATAGGATTAAAAAAGCCCTTCACCTGACTGTGGGAAGACCCTGACATGAGCTCCAGGTGAGCCATGCAGGGGCTGTCTCCTCCCACAAATTTGGTGCCACTAGTGAAATGATTCTTTCTCATAGCTCATCACCAATTCTTGTTACTTAACATATTGCTTCTCTATGGCTTAATCTATTTTTACATATTTATATCCCAAACCATTAATCAAATAGGACATGACAATAGAAAAGTAAAATGCAAACCTTCAAACCTTCAAACCTGCAACTTCAGCTTCAGTTAGGCAGGCAGAGGCCCTCACAGCCCATGAAAAGCCTATGTGAAGTCATGTCTTCTCTAGAAGCTGCTTCTGCCTCTTTAAGAGATTCCAGGGCACCTTCAAAGGGCAGGGCACACCCCAGAAGAGGTCCCGTCACAGCCCTCTGGCTGGAGACATTACAGTAGCTGCAGAATGACCATTGTGTCCCCTTCTGAACATCATTGTGGCAAGAGTGATTATGTGGGGGAGGATTTCTGAATCATCACTGCACAGCCTACAGCAGAACTGCTCCCTGCCTCAAAGTGCTTTCAATCTCAGACCTAGCCCATACCAAGCAGGGGGTGGGCAGGGAGAACAAACATGGGAGAAATGTAGGTGGCTCAGTGGCACGTGCTTTGCTTTAATACCAGGCCAAAAGCTAAGCCTTGAGTTCCGTTTGTCTCCTTTGCGATTCCAAGTCTTACTTCTGTAGATCCGGAAGTCCTAACATGTTTTACTTGATCATCCTTCTCTTTTAACATAGACACTGCCCACTTCCAGGTGTGTGGAGAGTTGCCAGCCTGGGTTTGCCAAGCGAGTTCACGAAGGACAGCCAGTTTGCTGCTATGCTTGTGCTGCCTGTGCAGAAGGGACCATCTCCATTCAGGAAGGTGAGTGACTTCAGGGTATGGGGAAGCCCCTGGAGAAGGTGCCCAAGATTCACCTGGAGATGCTCTGTGAGGCAGTTTTAAAGGTTCTGCCTTAATCTTGATTCTTTTGATTTCAAGAGTCAAGGAACACACACAGGGACCCACAACTGAATCTCCAGATGTGGCATCCAAACACTTCTAGAGACCATAACCTCAAAAAGTATTGCCAAATCCCAAAAGAATAGGCAGACTATCATATGTTCTTTGGCCAGTTTGGTTTGTTCTCCTTGTTGCCATTCTGATTATCTTTCACCAAAGTGATTCCTAAACTACTGAGGCTGGATAANATTTGACTGTGTCAATTGCAATTCATGCTTTGGCAATTTTATGTTTCCAGTTTTCTACACACACACACACACACACACACACACAGAATTATTCACTAAGCTCAAATGAAATGGACAATTTTGTCCATTAGCAACAAAATTCTTTATAGAACATTTTCAGACACTGAGTGATTTTAGTTGCTTGATTCACCAAATTTCTACAGGTGAGAGATTTATCTTTCCAATTTTATTGGTTGTTCACAGCAAACATTAAGCATCTGTATGTGCTGGCTATACATTAACTTCCCTAAAGAACCCATATACGTTAAGAGGACACACCCATCAGTTAAAAAAAAAAAAAAAACCTAAAGTTTTCGAGGACTCGCTGCAGTGCAAAAAGGTCATCCTGGGATGGTATCCCCTAAATGTATAAGTAACACTAGCATTATTAGACCTCTGGGTATTAGTTGTCAGAAGTGAATTTTTATTAAAAGGATGTGGTAACATTAAATATGCAGGAAACAAGAGGTTTTGTGAAGAATGCCAAAAAATGGCAGAGTTGCAATGATATTTGATATCTATTGAGTACCTGCAACCACTCACCAAGGCTGTGATCAGCTGGAATGGATGAACATCATAGCCTGCTGGGTCCAGAAGCCCAGACATAGAAGGGTTGGGTCAAGTGCTTACCAAATACACGTTCATTGTTTATAAAGAAGCATATATGGTTCAGTTTGAACTTGCATGGATATGAAATGCCTCAGCTTTAGGGTCACATTTATTTATTTGTTTATTTAGAAAATTTCTAAGCTGCCCCATTCGCCGAAGCCTCGGAGCAGCTCACATAATGTCTAATTCTTCTAAATGGCAAATTGCTCCTTCTCACTATAAGCTAACAATTGGGCAATGGACTGGCAAGTTCATATTGAGGCAGCTGAACAATGTCATGCTGTGGTTGATGGGAGTAAGTGTAGCCCACCCCATCATCTATTTACCTGACTCAAGTTGAGAATACAAGCTTGCTGGTGAACCTCACCTACAAGTTCCTCTTCCTTCTTTCAGGGCGTGAGGCCCTGTGAATGCCCTTAGTCCATCTTCCTTGGCAGGAGGCCTAACCTGGGCATGACTGCCTGCCAAGGAAATAAAAAACAGGCTGAGCAGAAAGTTGGTGGATGGTGGTGTCAGCTTCAAGTGCCTTCACTAGCAAAGAAGACTAGGAAGAGGGAATATCTTTTGGTCTGGATCGATATCTAATGAAGGATTACAAGGGATGGTGTGCTGCGTACCTTCCAGGGCACACTGGAGGACTTGGAGGAAAACCTCAGAAGTATTGGCAAATCAAAATTCAACAAATACTCTTGAACATTTCCAGGTTGCATTTGCTTCCTACCCCACTGCTGTTTGAACAGCAAGAAAGATTAAGCTGATGCTACCCTCTTGGTTGCAGATGCAGCTCATTGCAGCAGGTGTCCAGAGGAACAGCATCCAGCCAAGAAAAAGGATCAATGCATCCCAAAGGAGAAAACCTTCCTGTCCTTTGAGGAACCCTTGGGAACTGTCCTCACTTTCTCGGCATTATTCTTGTCCTTAGCCACAGGCTGTGTTTTAGGGATCTTCATTAAGTACCTGGAAACCCCCATAGTCAAAGCCAACAACCGGGACCTCTCCTACTTTCTCCTAATCTCCCTTCTGCTCTCCTTCCTGTCTTCCTTCCTGTTCATTGACCAGCCAATGTTTGTGACCTGCCTTCTCCGACAAATGGCCTTCAGTATCGTCTTTTCAGTGGCTGTCTCTTCCGTGTTGGCCAAAACTATCACTGTGGTGATGGCCTTTCTGGCCACCAAGCCAGGAAACAGGGTGAGGAGATGGCTGGGGAAGAGCTTGGCCAACTCCATTGTCATTTCCTGTTCTGCTATCCAAGTTCTTATATGCACTATCTGGCTGGGAACCTCTCCACCCTTCCCAGATGCTGACATGCACTCCCAGCCTGGGCAGATCATCCTGCAGTGTAATGAAGGCTCTGTGACCAATTTCTACACTGCCCTGGGCTACATAGGCTTCCTGGCTGCTGTCTGCTTCACAGTGGCCTTCATGGCCAGGAAGCTGCCGGGGGCATTCAACGAGGCCAAGCTGATCACCTTCAGCATGCTGGTCTTCTGCAGCGTCTGGGTGTCCTTCGTGCCCACCTACCTGAGCACCAGGGGCAAGTACATGGTGGCCGTGCAGGTCTTCTCCATCTTGACCTCCAGTGCTGGGCTGCTGGGTTGCATCTTTCTTCCCAAGTGCTACATTATTCTAGTGAGGCCAGATCTCAACACAAAGGAACATCTCATGACAAAAGCTGAAGCTGGCATCTCACATTAAAGGAACTGTTTCTCAGCGCAAGAATTAATAGCTGCCGCCACTTCCACCACCATGAACAACAACAATGACCATAGCAATAATAGAAAATCTCATGATATTATGGGAAAGGGCAATATGCAAAAACTTGAAAAAATAAATAAATGGCATGTAACCACATCAATTCCTTTTCATCAACAGA